GGGACACGGGTTTGTGCCCCAGTCCGGGAAGATCCCACATTCCGTGGAGCGGCTGTGCCCATGAGCCATGGCTGCTGAGCCTGTGCGTCCGGAGCCTGTTGCTCCGCAACGGGAGAGGCCACAACAGTGAGAGGCCCGCGTACCGCAAAAAAAAAAAAAAAAAAAAGACTACAAATAATAAATGCTGTAGAGGGTGTGGAGAAAAAACCCTCCTACACTGTTAATGGGAATGTAAATTGGTGCACCCACTATGGAGAACAGTATGGAGATTCCCTTAAAACTAAAAGTAGAGCTACCACATGATCGTGCAATCCCACCCCTGGGCATATATCCAGAGAAAACCATAATTTGGAAAGATACATGCACCCCAATGTTCATTTCAGCACTATTTACAACAGCCAAGACATGAAAGTAATCTAATTGTCCATCAGATGACACATGAATGGATAAAGAAGATGTGGTATATTGGAATGGAATGTTACTCAGCCATTAAAAAGAACGAAATAATGCCATTTGCAGCAACATGGATGGCCCTAGAGATTATCATACTAAAGTGAATAAGTCAGACAGAGAAAGACCCATAGCATATAATATTGCTTATATGTGGAACCTAAAAAAAAGAACTTATATACAAAATATAATTAGACCCACAGACATAGAAAACAAACATGGTTTCCAAAGTAGAAGCGGGGATGAGGGATAAATTAGGAGTTTGGGATTAACATACACATACATACTAATCATAAAATAGATAACCAACAAGGACCAACTATATAGCACAGGGAACTATATTCAATATTTTGTAATAACCTATAAGGTAAATGAATCTGAAAAGGAATTATATATATATGCGTGTGTGTGTGTGTGTGTGTGTGTGTGTGTGTGTGTATACATATGAATCACTTTGCTGTACACCTGAAACTAACACAACATTGTAAATCAACTATACTTCAATAAAAAAAAAAAATTGCAAGTTCTGATGTTGAAGCTGCAGCAAGTTATTCAGAAAATCTAGCTAAGCTAATTAAGAAAAGTGGCTACACTAAATATTTTCAATGTAGATGAAAAGCCTTTTAGTGGAAGAAAATGCCATCTAGGACCTTCATAGTTAAAGAGGAGAAGTCAATGTCTGGCTTCAAAGAGGCTGACTCTCTTGTCAGGCTGATGCAGCTGGTGACTTTAAGTTGAAGCTAATGCTCATTTACCATTCTGAAAATCCTAGGGCCCTTAAAGAATTATGCTAAACTACTCTGCCACTACACTATAAATAGAGAAACAAAGTCTGGATGACAGCACATCTGTTTACAATATGGTTTACTGAGCATTTTAAGGCCACTGTTGAGACCTACCACTGAGAAAAAAAAATTCCTTTCAAAATATTACTGCTCATTGATAATGCATCTGGTGACCCAAGAGCTCTTATGGAGATATACAATGAAATTAATGTTTTCACGCCTGCTAACACAACATTCATTCTGCAGCCCATGGATCAAGGAGTAATTTTGACTTTCAGGTTTCATTTTTTATGAAATAGATTTCATAAGGCTGCCATAGATAGTGATCCCTCTGATAGATCTGTGCGAAGTAAACTGAAAACCTTCTGGAAAGGATTCACCATTCTAGATGCATTAAGAACATTCGTGATTCATGGGAAGAAGTCAAAATACCAAAATTAACAGGAGTTTGAAGAAGTTGATTCTAACCCTCATGGATGACTTTGAGGTGTTCAATTTCAGCGGAGGAAGAAAATGCAGAAGTGGTGGAAATAGCAGGAGAACTAGAATTATAAGTGGAACCTGAAGATGTGACTGAATTGCTGCAATCTTATGATAAAACTTTAATGGATAAGGAGTTGCTTTTTATGGATAAGCAAAGAAAGTTGCTTTCTTGACATGTAATCTATTCCTGGTGAAGATGCTGTGAAGATTGTTAAAACAACAACAAAGTATTTAGAATATTACATAAATTTAGTTGATAAAGCAGCCACAGGGTTTGAAAGGATCGACTCCAATTTTGCAAGAAGTTCTACTGTGGGTAAAATGCTACCAAACTGCATTGTGTGTTACAGAGAAATGGTTCATGAAAGGAAGAATTGACTGATGCAGCGAACTTCACTGTTGTCTTATTTTCAGTAATTACCACAGACACGCTAACCTTCAGCAAGCACCTCCATGATCAGTCAGCAGCCATCAAAAGGGAGTCAAGATGCTTCACCAGCAAAAGGATTATGACTTGCTGAAGGCTCAGATGATGGTTAGCATTTTTTAGCAATAAAGTATTTTTTAATTAAGATATATCCTTTTTTTAGACATAATGCTATTGCACACTAACAGAATAGTGTAAACATAACTTTTATTTGCACTGGAAACCAAAAAATTTGTGTGACTTGCTTTATTGCAATATTTGCTTTATTGAAGTAGTCTGGAACTGAACTTGTAATGTCTCTGAGGTAGCCTGTATTTTATTCCCACCATACTTCTAGACCTCAGTTCTCTCATTTGTAAAACAAGATGATTGAAACAGAAGATTTCAAGCACTGGTCCTCAATGCCAGTCCACACCATGTCATGTCTGGTCTACAGTAAAATGGTGGAGCTGGGGTGGGGGGGCAGCAGGGGAGATGACATTGTTCATATGCATAAGTTTTAATAGTCTTACTTGGCAAAATAAGCTTACATGTTCCAGGAACTGTGCTGGGCACTTTACCTCTGTAATCCCAACAGCAACCCTAAGAGGTAGGTATTATTACTATTATACCTCTTTACATGAAGAACCACAGTTTAGAGAAGTCCCCAAGGATATATAGCTACTAAGTGGCAGATTCAAACCCCAGTCTATTAGTCTCCAAATCTCAGACTCAATCAAATATGCAGCCAACTAGCTCCACTCTTTCTCCAGGGCTTCTCAAATTTTCCATTAACTAGTCATAGATATTGCTTCTCCTTTTAACCTTAAATTCTGTGTCCTCCAAGTGTTGCTAAAGTTTGTCCATATTCTTCCTCTCTCTCATATACAGACACACACACACACAAACACACACACACACACACACAACACACAACACACACCTTACTTCCCTTCCTAATTCTATCTACTGAAGTAAAAAGGACTTTTATTAACCTTGATTTTTTTGTTTTGTTATGTTTTATTTCTTTCAATCTCCACAGGAATGTCCAGTTCCTGTTAAAGGTGGCTACCCAAGAGAATAGATACACTGACATCCTGTTTTAGGTGACATGAAGAGAATGAATAACCAGTTAAATTGAGTAGGAAACAGTGATAGTGAACATAAGAGAACTGTTCTCTTGGGCCCTGGTCCACTATATCTGTCTATTATATCTGTTCTTTTCAAACATAGAATTTCTCCAGAGAAGCTGCCAGTTGCCTAACCTCTTCATTCATAAATTTAAGATCACATTACACTGTAAACACTAGCAGGTCATATGTTACAGCATTCCTCAAAGGCTTTTTTTTTCAATTTTTTCTTCCCTTGTAATGTTACTAATTCCATACAAGGCAATCTGATTAAATACTATTCATATTCTCTAGAATATTCACAATTATTTACATTTCTTTACTTAACAGGGATAGTAATGATATAAAAATTTCAGCACAATTTTCTTTATGTCCAAAAGTAGCTAGCTTATTTGTAGCCAAATTTTATTGACCCTATATGAACTCATCACTTCTAAGTAACCAGCTTGAGGCTGCTGGTTAAATCCATAGTGACTTTGAGATTCTTTCATAATTGACCTACTCTGTTCTGTTTACTTCCACATGTAAATATAAAGCTTTAAATCTCCTTTCTTTCTTCTCATTAAAGAACAAAGTTTGTATGGGTGAAGGAAGAGGTGAAAAAATTCAACACTAATGCCAAATCCAAGGAAGCCTTTAAGACACTTTTATTTTTTTAAATTGCTATTTGTGTCTAACAATTCTTATTTGCTTGCCAACTCTAAAAGGAGCACTAAGGAAGTTGATATTAATTAAATTTACTATTTAAGTGTTCAACTGAAAAAGAAAATAGCTAGTTTTGTAGGTATCATCTATTTACACAATAAAGTTCTCTAAAAGATGTCCCTTATAGAAAAAGTATTTACAATGATATATATTGCTTCATGACTTAAGGTTTTAGCTTATGACTTTTCCATAAAACATATTATAAAGCCCCCAGTATTCATCTTTCAGGGTTCTTAGAGATACAATAATCATTGGCTGACTTTTTTTTAGGCTTTTTCTAAAGAGGAAAAACTACAAATACCAAAAATTAAAATAATATTTAATTTCAAATTTTGAGACAGATTGAAATTTTAAAAATAAAGCCTAACCATGAAAGTAGAAATATATTTAATTTAACAACTATACTCTTTATACCAGTTTATTACTTAAAACTGTAAAAATCTTACTTAAAATTTAGTTGCTCTTCCCAAAGTTCAGTAAAAAAATATGTCCTTCAAGTTTTTTTGAATATTTCACTGAATTAATATCAAATAAATGGAATAATATAGCAAGCTGTTAATAAACACTTCGACACAAATGCCAATAAATGCACAATCACGAAAGCCCAGAAAAATTATATCAACATCCTACAGACGTAAAACAAGTCTAAATAATTTTCCACATAATAAGTACAAAGTCCACATTTGTAGTAAAGTTCAGTATATTTCATTTTAGTGATAATCAGAATGGATTTCGTTGAGAGTGGATAGACACTGAAGATAATTGTAAATGACTGTCCATGGTCAGTCTCATTTTAGAAAGTAAAGAGCCAAATGGCATTACATTTAAATTCATCATGAAATTTTCATAATGGAGTTAGCTTTAAACACCTGGAGGCATCCTTGTATGATAAAAGAGAAATAGCCAGAGGGAAGAAAGGATAAAAAAATGGCCATTTCGGCATCCAGCCCACATCTACTTGTAAGTAACATTATTGGAGAACTTTTTTAGGGAGATGTCAGATAATAATTTCTACTTTTATTAATGAAAATCTCCACTTACCGTAGCTTCATTGCAAACCGTGCACTTAACCACATGCTGGTGAAGCTTGCCATCCAAATTGATGAGAGATTGGCACACGCGGCAGTTTATTACTGGAATACCACTGGCATCTGGACTGGCAATGGCTGTATACGGAGGTGGGAGTTCCGCTAAAAAGATATTAGCCACTGAATCAGAGTCTCAGAGATATTACGGCTGGTTTGAGCAAATAAGCAATAGAAGTAAAGAAGGAAAACTATCAAAATTCTCCTGTTCTTTATGTTTTTAAAGCTGGCCAACATAATATAGTTTCAGAGCAGAAACACATATAGGACTATATTGTGAAATAGAATAATTCTTAGCTCCTAAAATCCAAATCACACCTGCCTAGGTTTACACCTTTTATTAACCTATACTCGAAATATTCACTCCATTTCTATGTGCAAATTCATAGAGTTTGTAATAGGAAGGTGATAATTTATGCCTAAAAGTAAAAATCTTACACTAATGATCTGACTCCCAAGAAATAGAAATAGTCAATGAAGACAAAGCTTTAAAATCACTTACATATATACATATACATAAATTGTGTAGTTGTCGTGCTCTGTTTATACTAGAAGCAGTATAATAACTGCTGAGTATGACAAGAACAAAATAGGGTTTTGGTGGCAGTCAAGGAGAGACAAGAACGAACCAGGAAAACTAAACATATCAACATGGAACATGTTCTAATTAGAATGGAATTATGCTAATTTCAGAGAAAAAACAAGAATGAAGTAAATTTAACAATTTTTGTCTCAAACTTTCACCTAACATTAAAAATCTAGAAAATGTATCAAAGTATTTATGGGTAAAAAATATATTGTCTGGGATTTAATTTAAATACTCCAAGAAAAAGATGGGTTAATAGATGCAACAAGAGTAGCAAAATGTCTATATTTATGAATATAAAGACACAGAAGGTCATTTTGCTCTTACTACTTTTGTGTATGTTTGAAAATTCTGAAAATACAAAGATACACACACACACACACACACACACACACACTGCTTTTTGAGAGTCCTTAAGTCAACTGATTGGGTAGAGGGTAGAAGCTCAGTTTCAGAATTGTGTTCATATACCAGAAGTATATATTTGTTACAAAAGTTAGAGAAAAAGAATCTAGATATACTATTCCAGAATGGGATTTCTAAAGGGGACTGCCTAGCCTAATTTTGTAGCTATCTGAATTATAGGAATAGGAGCCCCTTTCAAGGTAAGATTTTGTCATAGGCCATCTAGAAAAGGCTACGCCTCAACACATGATTGAATCCCCACTAAAGAGAACTGATAGTTCAAGGGGCTACTGTGACACTATAAAATACAAAAACAATAACTAATCATGAAAAGAGCTATTTTTAAAATAGAGATTTTTCTATCCACTGGATTAGATTCTGAACTCTATGATAGTCTGAAATGAGTTAGAGCACAGCACATTATGGTATGTTTAAAATCCACATATTACCACCTGGCATCCTTAGGGTATATCAGGTAGATTTTTTAGACTTGCAAAGAATTAACAACAAGTGTTATCCTTTCAAATATTCATAATAAACCAAATTTCTGCAGCAGCCAAGGCTCTGAAAGAGGTCACATTGAAATGACAATATGCACACATCCCTGGAAGTCTTATACCAGAACACTGCCAAACACTGAATTTAAAAAGAAGCTATAGATGTCTAAATTATAAAAATAGTTTTATAATTTATAAAACTATAAATTAGGTACACGAAAAGCTGCTCAACATCACTAATTATTAGAGAAATGCAAATCAAAACTACAATGAGATATCACCTCACACCAGTTAGAATGGGCATCATCAGAAAATCTACAAACAATAAATGCTGGAGAGGGTGTGGAGAAAAGGGAACCCTCTTGCACTGTTGGTGGGAATGTAAATTGATACAGCCACTATAGAGAACAGTATGGAGGTTCCTTAAAAAACTAAAAATAGAATTACCATATGACCCAGCAATCCCACTACTGGGCATATACCCAGAGAAAACCATAATTCAAAAAGACACATGCACCCCAATGCTCATTGCAGCACTATTTACAATAGCCAGGTCATGGAAGCAACCTAAATGCCCATCGACAGATGAATGGATAAAGAAGATGTGATACATATATATGATGGAATATTACTCAGCCATAAAAAGGAACGAAATTGAGTCATTTATAGAGACATGGAATGGCCATAGAGACTGTCATACAGAGTGAAGTAAATCAGAAAGAGAAAAACAAATACCGTATATTAACGCATATATGTGGAATCTAGAAAAATGGTACAGGTGAACCAGTTTGCAAGGCAGAAATAGAGACACAGATGTAGAGAACAAATGTATGGACACCAAGGGTGGTGGGGGTGGGATGAATTGGGAGACTGGGATTGACATATGTACACTAATATGTATAAAACAGATAAGTAATAAGAACGTGCTGTATAAAAAATAATAAATAAAATTCAAAAAACAAACAAAAAAATAGTTTTAAATCCTTGAAAGAATTTAAGGTTGATGCAGAATGACCTGTAATGTATTAATCAAGAAGAAAAAACAGGTTAAAGGATCAATGTGTCAAAATACATTTGAGCCTGTGCAACTTGCAGATTATTTTATCAGATCTTGGTAAAGAAGGTATTGTTCTGGGAAAAAGCATACACACCTCACTAGAAATTCAAGACACACTGCCTGGTGTGTAATAATAATTTTTTAAAAATAATTATTAACAATAGCATTATTAATAAAAGTTTCTTCTTTTGCCTTTTCCTTGAGTTATAAAGTAACATAAAGTAGGTCTCCCATTAATTCCAGGTTTCCACCTTACATAGTGTGATAGAAAAGAAATTTAAAGACAAGATAATTTCACAAAGAAAACAAGGGTATTGAGGGTGAGGGGAAGAGGCCACACATTGCAGCTACATATAAGGACGGTAAAACCCATTCACTCCAACAGGCAAAAGTTTTGTTCAGTGGAATCTCCTAAAGATTTCAATGGTTTATCTTTTTTGGTTCTGATACATTTGAAGTGTATCAGAACCAACAAGACCCTGTGAACTTTTCCTCTAAGATTTGTACTATATAATTTTTAACCTGTAAAAAAAGAAAAGCTTTCAATGACAAAAGTATGCCAGAATCTTCTGGAGGCTTGGGAATTGGAAGGAGGGGGAAAGAATGAGTGAGGATTAGAAGTCTAAAATGGGAAAGACTATAAGCTCCATGAGGCCAAGGTCATGTTTGGCTTGTTCAGGACTGATACAGCACTTGTTATAAGTGCTTGGTCTATGATAGGTGTTCACTAAATATTTATTGAATGGATGATGGATGAATAAATGAATGAATAACTGAATCACTGAAATTTATCAGGCTCATCTATTTCTCCGGGGAAAATGATACTAAGTATATTACCACTACTCTCCTTGAAGAGGAGCTAGGGTCCTAGCAGGGGAGTACAGCATGACTGAAAAAAAGGCTCTCTTCTATATATAGAATACCCTCTCCAAATCATGCACTGAGAGAGGGAAGTGGACAGGGGACACTGGCCTGGCCCACCAGATAAGTACAATCAATCCAAGAGATCAATAGAATAACAGATGTTGCAGCCTAACTGCTCCACTAAACAGTGCTTTCAGGCATATAATTTCAATTTTCTGTCCATTAATTACTTTAGCACTAAACTGATTTAGAGATATTTCTTGTACTTTTATCCCAAGGAAACCTTGACCTACAACTCCATCTCCTCTTGTAAAGGACTTGTAATTACAGAAATTTATTTCACTGTCAGTAAACCTGCAATGATTAACAACTTAGATTGTTCATTTTGTCTCTTTTCACTTTAAAACAGTCAACAGATCACCACTATTATACCTATTTTAAATTTCTGCCCTGGATAAAAAGTCCACTGTAATCTCAGAACTTGGGATCATTGGATATTAAGAGTCACAAAAGTTCTTCATTTTGGAAGAGTCTTACTTGTTATTTAAACAATGATAATTTTCTCTATGGGGTTTGCCTAAGTGAAAAATCTTTTTTCTCCAAGTGAGCAGTATTTGTTAGACCAGTAGTCCTCAAACCTGAAAAACCCCCTCAAAGTTCCAGAATTATACAGTGTTAGAAATTCAAGCAATCTTAGTCTAGTATTTAGTCTAATTTCTTCATTTTATGGAAGAGGAAACTGAAGACCAGGGATTCTGACTTCTTAGTAGACTTTTATATAGCACTTCAGCAAAGCCAAGAGCTGACTCTTCTCCCAGAGGTCACTCCATAATGACAGCTGCCTCTCTTAATGAATAATGATTTAATATAGGGAAAAGATGTAAGGACTAATGGAGATTCTGCACAAATACTTAGACAACAATCAGATCTGAGTTAAAGGGGATTAGGAGGAGGAGAAAGAAGAGTCAGGGAAAATGAAAATTAGAACATAATATGAAGAAAGAATTAGTTCATGATAAAAAGTTCACAGGGCTTCCCTGGTGGCGCAGTGGTTGAGAGTCCGCCTGCCGATGCAGGGCACACGGGTTCGTGCCCCGGTCCGGGTAGATCCCACATGCCACGGAGCGGCTGGGCTCATGAACAATGGCCGCTGAGCCTGCGCGTCCGGAGCCTGTGCTCCGCAACGGGAGAGGCCACAACAGTGAGAGGCCCGCGTACCGCAAAAAAAGGAAAAAAAAATTCACAGTAAAACTGAGATTCGTAAAAAAGACAAGACAAAATAACATAGATCACAAGGCATACATAATGGTCTTCCTTAAAACACTCAAAAGGAACGATTATTATTCTATAAACCCACAAGTGATCAAATTACACTTTCCCATCATAAACATCAACTTAATTTATCTATTTTATGCCCAAAAGCTCCTCTTTCCTGCTAATTCATGCTGGTGTAATAATCCATACTTCATTTTTTACCAGATATACCCAGATATAGCATTTTAAAGGTTGCAAATGTTTTGCTGGATAGCTCTGATCTTTATTATCTCAGTTATTCCTTTATAAATCTCTGCAGTGACAATATTTTCCAGTTTAATTCACTTACTTCACTAATACAGTCTTATATGCAGTCCTGGCCCTTGACAAAGATGTACCAAAGTTGAAAAATGACATCAGATTAAAAAGAGAGATCATTTAG